CCTTCTCCAGCAAGTGGTGGATGCCGAGATGACTGGGCAGAGCCTTCTGGAAAGCGCAGCAGTCACCAAGCAAGTGAGGAGTCACTACCAGCGACGCTTGCAGGACCTGGACAACTTTGTGAGGCGAGAGGGTCTTCCTTTCTCGACGGACGAGGATGTGGACCTGGCCATGGTGTACCTCGAAGGGGAGGGCAGCCACTTCGGAGACTACACCGTGGCAGCTTTCCTAGACAAAGTGCCGGAGTTCGGGCGACTGGGATTAAGGTGCCTGGTGATGGTTCAAGGGAGGGCGAAAGCTATGCCCATCTCAATCGAGGCTTGCTTATCCCCTCGCTGTTTGGCGCGGTCTGAGCGCTGGAAAATGGTAGTTCTCAACCTCCTCCAGGTCTTGACCTACCACAGGCCCAATACCCTCCTGAAGCTTGAAGCCTACTTCAGGAATGACGGGGCACTGGTCCATGGTGACAAGCCTCAGCGAGACTCAGGACATCTCCAAGACTGGCGCAAAGAACGACTCGCTTTTGCTACACTCGGGTTGGCTCCAGTTTCTGGGGCCGGTTCTGGAGATTGTCAGCTCTGGGGGTCACATGGACCAGGTCTGGGACTTCAATTACTCCGAGTACCTCTGTGTCTTTCAGAAGTGTTGCCTGGACCTGAAGCTCGAGCTAGTTCCATATCAAGCCCGTCACAGCGGACCGTCAATAGATCGTGCGTCAGGGGCTCGAAGGAGGTTCGAAAGAGGGGCGGCTGGGTAAGTCGCCAGTCGGTGGCCAGATACGAGAAAGCGGGAAGGCTGGCAGCAACGAAGTCCAACTGTGCTGCACGATGGCGGAAAAGTACATCGAAGAGATCATCCTAGGCCAAGGCTATCCGGTCATCGCCATTCCTGGCTGACTCAGCGAGGCCAGTATGTTGCTGATTTTTTCTCAGGACATGGCGGAGTCGCCAGGGCAGCGCGTAAGCTTGGTTTCTCAACTCGTGAGTGGGAGCTGGAAAGAGGCCCGGCCTTTGACCTGACCAACAAGGCTGTTCTCTTCAAAATCAAAGAGGATGTCCGAAAAGGGCGGGTTATTGCGGCCATGCTAGCTCCTCCATGCACTACTTTCTCTGTTGCTCGAGACAGGACATGTGTCATTCGTACAGCTGACGAACCTTGGGGGGTCTCGGATCTGAAGCCAGGTGACGCTGAAAAAGTTAGAGCAGGGAATCAGTGCATGAGGTCGGCTCTTTCTATCATCCACTGGCTTGAGAAACATCGAATCCCATACCTTTTTGAGCACCCATACACGAGTAAAGCCTGGTATTTGCCAAGGTTGAGATGGCTTCGCCGACTCCATCACGTACAGGCCGTAACCACAGATTTCTGTCAGTACGGGGTCTCCTGGAGAAAAAGAACGCTATTGCTTTGCTCAAGGATTGACGAGCAGGACCTCGTCAGGTGCCAGCGGCTTTGCACAGGTCCTCCAGGGTTTTGCGCCACGGGGCTCCGTCATGTCCAGCTCACTGGCAGCAACAAACAGGGAGCGCCATTCACACGAACTGCACAGCCCTATCCAGCTAAACTATGTCACCATCTTGCTTTTGCTCTCACCTCTCACACTTGAAAAGTCGAACCGTGGTTCTGATTTTCGGCACTCCCTCCCACCCACATCGTGAACTACATCTTTGGGATGCGGCTTGGGAGGTTTCAGAGATCTTGGTGATCCACGGGGGTGGCTGCATATGTCTTCGGCATCTCATATGCCATGACGCGTGAGAGATTCTTGAGAAAGTTGACCGCAAAAATGGTGCTCAGAGTGTCATGTGAGTGCGCAACACGGAAATGACAGCAGCACATGTGAAGTGTCGCTGCTACTTGTAGCAATTTTGGGTCCCCCGCCCCCCCTCCCAAAGGGAGGTTTCAGAGATCTTGGTGATCCACGGGGGTGGCTGCATATGTCTTCGGCATCTCATACGCCATGACGCGTGAGAGATTCTTGAGAAGGTTGACCGCAAAAATGGTGCTCAGAGTGTCAGAATCATGGCGCCGAACCCTCCCGTGCTCCAAGTAAGTGGCCCATCCACAGGCTTCCAAATCGCGGACCACCCTGCCAAGGGCCAACCCCTTTGCAGCCGATCCTCTCGATGTACAGGTCGTTGTCAGGAGTATACAGCACTACTTCTTCTCCACCAATGACCAAGCCTATGAGGTTGTCACGCCAGACATGATCATCTGAGTACCACAGGAGCGCTCGCTGTCCCGCTTTCAGGTCCCGATACCACCCCACCTCCGCGTCGCCTAAGCCTTGGAGATCCAACTTGACGTTCATGCTCATGATTTGGGCGTGCCCTATGCTAAAGGAAACAGCCGCAAGTGGCTAGCGCGCCTCCAGCTGCAAAAGATCCAGTGACCACAAGGAGCTGAACAGCCACTGCCTGCCAATACTTTATCATTCTACCTGCCCTTGGACCCAAAATTGCTACAAGTAGCAGCGACACTTCACATGTGCTGCTGTCATTTCCGTGTTGCACACTCACATGTCCAAGCAGTATCCGTTTTATCCCTCCCCTTCGGTCCCGGGTGTCAGGCGGCAATCCAGGATCCAGTACTCCTCCAAAAGGACCAACCCCACATTAGAGCATACAGCAGCGGAGGAGGATCTCGCCAGGATCAGCGGCCTCTGCGACGCTTCCGGTGCGATGGCTGGCGCAAGACCAAGCCAGGCGTCCCAGTAGGGCTGGCCCCCTCCACCTCGCACATCCTCAGGAGCCACCCACCACCGAACCTCCAGCCCCCTCCCGGCCTCGACGAACCCGCAGCAGACTCGCCCGAAGAAGAACTACGATGAGTAGGGGGTACCCTGTTTGGTCAGCAGCGGCGGCGCTGCTCCCTGGCAACGGCGCTGGCTTTGGCCTTCTGAGCTCCTGCATCGCCATTTACTGAAGGGGCTTAGGCTTGAGTTGGGTGTACAGTTTCGCCCATCCCCGCTTGCAATGGGCGTTACGCCCTTTGTTTTGGTGTATATGAATGGGCGCCACGCCCTGTACACTTTTACCAGGACCATACTTGGTACCTGCCGTAGCCATTTGTATGGGCACTGGCCGCATCCTCTACAGGAGGTTTGCTTTGGCCCCAAGGGATACTCAGTCCCCTGTTTTGAAGCCGAGTTAGTGGTAGGTACCCTTTGCGATGTCGCCTCCTCATATGAGGCTTTACATCGCCCAGGAGGCCCTAATGCCTTCTTTTTGCATTGCAGTTTACTCTGCCTCCGTTAAGAGTTCGTTTCACCAGCATATGTGCATGGCTCCCGAGCAAAAAGTCCCTTCAGCCGCGGGGTTTTGTTAAGGGCGGGGTGACGTTGTCATAAAGTGTTTAAAGCACTTGGGGGCACCCCTCAACTAGGCTTGGGCCCCCCCCCGTTCTGCTCCAACCTGAGGTGCTTCCGACATGCGCTTCGCTCCGCCTCCTGCAGCAAAAAAGAAGGGAGTGCTCGCTGTGTACAACTGCATGCACGCTGTAGCGACCGTTTTGGCAAGTCGTGTGCAGTAGCAGAACTTGCTTGTTAGCAATAACGTAGAGTTCTGCGAGTGATGTCGGCTTGGCGCAACATTTTGCGCTCAAGTTTTTCTTTGTGCCCTCCCACCCTCCCCGGGGTGACGTTGTCATAAAGTGTTTAAAGCACCTGCAACCACCCCTCAACCAACCCCCCGTCTTGCTCCAACCTGAGGTGCTTCCGACATGCGCTTCGCTCCGCCTCCTGCAGCAAAAAAGAAGGGAGTGCTCGCTGTGTACAACTGCATGCACGCTGTAGCGACCGTATTGGCAAGTCGTGTGAAGTGGCAGAACTTGCTTGTTAGCAATAAC